GAAAAAGGGGGGGGGGGGGGGGAAGTGTGGCTCTAAAGACTCAATCCTGCAACTGGACCTTTGCAGTTGGACTCCAGCATCCAGTGACAAACCCAGTAATGTCAATGATTGTTGGTACCTTCATGCAAATGGAGAGGTGCCTCATTTCACCCAAGGTTGAGTTTTGCCAATTGTTTCTAATTAGGAAGATGTTAGCTGGTGGATTTCTGGAAATCTTTACAGCCATTTCCCACTTTCTATAAAGGTTAGTCTCCTCTTCTTCTCTTAACATCATGCATTAAAAAATATGGTAGTTTGTTCTCCATAACTAAATCTCAGATCTTCTATAATCCAATTAGAAGAAACAAAAAGGATCTCTAATACTTTACCCTTCCACTAGAATAAAAGCCTAATGAACTGGTTGACAAAAAGGCGTGCTTTGCAGTGCACACTTCTAACATCTAGTTTACTTCACTAGAATGAAGGCCATACACATACACACACTCCTGCCCACTGCCCCCCACCCCCCAAAACACACCAGCCGTAGAAAACCAAATACTGAGTGAGCACACAAACAGTTGTTTAATGCTTTCTTTTTTCAGTTCAAAGCATTTAATATGTAGGATTCTAGGTCCACTAAGGAGTATAAATGTATCATAATAAATAATGAACATTTGAGCATGCTTCATGTACATTATGGCTGCTTACAGACGTTAAAACAAAATAAATAAACAAAACATCAAAATGGCACCTTACATTAAACCCAACACACTCTCGCGCCAAGCCCAGCATATACCCAGAAAAGGCATCACATTAGTTGGACCCAGCTCGCCCAATATCTGTATAGACAGAGCACTTTAGTGAGGCTTTTTTGGTGCTTTTATTTAATAGTTGATTAAAATCGATTGAAGCACCTGATCTATGCAGATGCAGTGGAGTGGGGTTGAACTAATGTGCTGCTGCTTCTAGTGAAACATTTTTGGGTTTGGGGGTTTTTTTTTTGGTGGGGGGGGATTTAATGTTTGTAAGCAGCCTTAGGCTGCATGTAGACGAAACCAGGGGCATGTGTGCATGACACTTTAAAAGTGGGCTAAATGCTTTTGCAACACTTTAATGGTGTTGGTGTTTGCACACCTCAGCAGCATATTGAGGATTAATTCGAGCTGCTGTAGGAAACTCGGCGATGTAATACACGTTAAATGACTTGGGGCACAGCAAACTAAAACTCCTCTGAAGAGTTTTAGTTTGCTGCCCCTGGAGCCACGGAGCAAAGCACCAGGCTCTGTGCACCTCAGGGGTTCTGCAGGAAGCCCATGTAGGCAGCCTGGCAGCAGCTGGGACAGGCAGACTCCACCCAGGAGAGGGGGAAAAAAAAATAAAAATAAAAAAAAAAGAATAACGGTGAGCCTGATTTTTATTTCTCCCCCTGGAGCCTGCCTGCCTACCTGAGCTGTGCCGGGGCCTGGTGCTTCCCTCCATGGCTGTAGTGCCCCCTGGGACCACCCAAGCCAGGTGCCTGCAGGCAGGTGCCGCTGTGGGGGGGGACAGCACCACTGCCATGGAGGGAAGCACCAGCCCCGCCAGAGACCGCTCCGCTCACCGGCAGCTTGTCCTCCCTGCCCCACCACCAGAGAGGCAGGTAAGTCAGTGTGTGCATGACACTGGGGTTTAATTGGCCCTAAATTGAAGCGGTGTTTTTAAAAAACCACAGCTTCAATTTAGGGCCCCCATTTCATCTACACACACCCTTGGTGTACATATTTTAGGTGTAATTTGACAATGCATTATCTCCTCTCTGAGCATGGCAACACTTAGATCTTACTAGAAATAGAAAAATCTCATGTGTTTAAGGATAGTACCCATTTTTCAGACCTTTTAACAAACTGATGTGAACAGTTTACACTTTCCAAAGCTTACCTGTTACGTCCAGAATCTCTAAATCCTTTGGCAAATGGATTCCTATCAATCTTCAATCGAGTGATCTGTAAATATGATTAGTGAGGGATGATGCGAGTTTTGTCAATTCAAAGTTATGTGCAAAGCACATTTATCCACAACATGAGCTAACAGTGGAATATTCTATTTTAACTCATTTTAAGAAGTATAAAAAAAAATAACGTGCATCTTTTTTCCTATTTACAGATTCAATGCAGTTTCTTTTGAAAAGTAATTAGGGCCCAATTTTGCAATTATTCTCCAAGTGGATCCTGAGGGAAGTCAAAAGGTGTTTCATTTACTAAAAGGCAGTCTAGGATTCTTAAAATAGTCTGGGAAGTGCTACTCCTTTAGCTAAGATAGTCCGAGACACAGTTAAATAATATATAGGCCAACAAATAATATCAACATGAGAAAGATTATTTTTAGGCCTCAATGCTCACACATACATAAAATAAAAAGTAGCACAAAAATATAATTTTAAATTTCTTTAAATAAACAGAATAGGCATCAATTGGTTGTATAACTCTTCTACTTTATATTTATATTGAATCATTCAGTGATTTTGCTTCCTGAAGAACACAGGTCAATAAACATGAACGTAAAATGTATAATACTTCCCAAAAATAATTACTCTAAATTATTTAAAATAAATAAGATAGCATTATATGAAATATGAATTAATCATGAATTAGACAAATCATTAGAACAGAAATCACAAGGTTAGAGCTGGCTATTCAGATGCACTCTGGTCATAGGACCACATGGCCACACGCAGCCTAATATGTCCTGCTGTAAAGGTTGGAGCTCAAAGGCTGGAACTCCATGCTCCTGTATCTTTACGGTTTCTAGTACTTAAATTAGCTTTTTTTGAGCTTTCTTAAGCATCTCTACACCACCCTGAAGTGTGCAGTACAGACACGCCTGCAGAGTCAAGCAACTAGATAAGAGGCTATGGACAAATGTCTTTTTTAAACTGCTTTAAACAATGAGAAATTGGAGCTTAGGTTTATGCATCAGCTGTTAAAATGCAACAGTTACATTTGCATGCTCCTGCACTGAGCAACTTTAACAGTGAATGAAAAAGGGTTAAAGTTCCAGTGGTCTTTTGCACTTGTATCCCTACATAAATCCCCAGATGTAACAGTAACATTTAACAGGAATAGAACTGTTATCTCTGTCCATATCCAGAGGGGTTTCTTGTTTTGCTTTTTTAAATTCCAAAGCAGGCTGAATTTGATTTTTTTTTTTTTTTAAACACACACACCAATTTTGCTCCCTCAAGTAAATAAAGATTCTGCTCCAGTTAATTAAACTTTGTCTGAAAGCCTCAGTTATTCTTTCATAAACTGCAGATAATACTTGACTAATATTGCAAAGCATTTTGAAATCCATGGGAGTTATGCCTTTGAAAATCCCACCAGAGGCATTTACCTGAACCTGTAGATACCAAGTTTTTAAACATCTGCCTCAGGTTTTATTAACATTTTAAACACTTTCTGCCTCACTTCCTCATCTTCCTATGTCCTCTTTTTAGACTGCACATTCCTCAGAGCAGGAGCCATTTCCTACTCCATACAGCACCTAGTGCACAGAGACTGCAATCAGTTGTGACCACAAAAAAAGTTATTTATTTTTATTTTGTGTTGTAATAAAAGGTTTTCCCTTTTCTTGTCTTGCTTCTGTCTGGTATACTTTGAAGACCTAGTAAATTATTAACCAGAAAGTCAAAATTACCTGTTGATTTTGGTATGCTGTTACAGTAGTGAAAACAGTTTCAGGAAAAGAGAATGCTTTGACTCCTTCTCCCGAAGGGATAGGCTTGACTGGTGACAGGTCATCTCCACAGTCTTTACGAATGACATGAACACGGGGCTGGTATTTGTGCATAGAATGAAGGATGATCTACAAAGAAAGGAAAAGAAAGAGGTAACATTTGTTAGAAAGGATACTGCAAAGCTTTTTTTCTTTATGAACTTTGCTGTTTCAGTATTAACAGAAGCTTGGAATAGATTTATGCAAGTGCTGACCATGACAGTTCCTGCAAATGAAATGTTTCTTTAACATATGGAAGATTTCATTACTGTAGCCTAATCACCCACATACTTACAGGACTGCCAACCCTAAACATTCAAAATTGTGTTAGTCACCCCCCTTAAAAAAAAGAGAAAAAAACCCCCAGGATATTAGCATTAAAATGTTGGATGAATTCCTGGGCCTACTGAAGTCAGTTTGAATTTTGAACTTTTAGCATGCACTTGGATATTTTCAAGCTTTTTTCTGTTACCGTAAGGTCTAAACATATTTTGCTTTTTTTGTTTTTGTTTTTAAATGAAAGCCGAAATCTTCACTTAGGATTCCAGGAGCAGCAGCTTTAAGGAGAATATCAAATATCACAAATGCAAACACTAGCAAAACTATATTTATAGTATGTACAGACAAACAGAACAATTGCATACACATATACCCACACACAATACAGAGTGCCAATTTGGGGGCGACATTTTTTAGTAAAGATTTAGGCCTCATCTTACAAGTTTTAGGAATATCAAAACTGCTTACAGAGCATAAACTTAAGCATGCATACTTTTCACAGAATCAGTATGATATCTCTGCATTTTGGAAGAAGTTGACAACAGAGTAGAGTTTTTTATTCCATTTAATTTCTATTAAGCACCCTATTAAAAGAATTCCCCCCCCCCCCCTCTCCACAAATGAGATCCTTCGCTATTATTCCCTTTTATTTTTTTAAACCCCCCCTTTAAAAAAACCCCCCCCCCCCCCCTCTCCACAAATGAGATCCTTCGCTATTCTTTTTAAAGACCATGGCTACTGGCCTGTAGAAATGCTAATCAAATTTCAGTAGAGCTTTTTAAATTTCTTCTTCCTTTAGCAAGCACAGACCACCTACAAAATCAGGCACTGCATTTTCAACATTTATGCCTTTAAGCCCAAGTGCCAGATATCATGAAGTCTCATTTATCCTAACAATACAGAGAACATTACTTTAGGTTGGATAAATTAAGGTTTGACTAAGAAAAGTATTTTGAATACATTCACTCTTGACTAGGGGACAATGATCCCCTTTTAGGCAGCCAATGTTTCTGGATAATTAAGGTTTTTATTATATTGCAGTTGAAACTTTGGGCGATGATACTATAAGGACTCCAAAAGCTCTTAGAACCCTATAGAGGTTTTAATAAGAGATGATTTTCCAAACTTCTTCAATTTTACAGACAGGCCAGAAGGAGGCTGGCACCTTGTGTTCAAATCTCTCTTATAACAATAATTCTAGCGTTTTGCCTCAGAAAAGCACAGGGAAGCTGTTCTACTTCCATTCCTCAGACTAGTATGTTAAGGCTAGCTGAAGTTGCTCTATACTACACTGCAGTTTGCAGTGTAGACGAACCCTTAGTTTGTCTGGTGCTTAGGATCGGGAATCGCCTTTATGGCATGTTTGTGTAGCACCTAGCCCAGTGATTCCTGATCCATGACTGGAGTTTATTGACACTACAGCAATATGAATAATCAATAATATACAAGGCACAGAACAATAATGAATTGGGCTCTGGAAGTGACACTTTCAGTTTAAAAAGGATAAAAACTAGAACATTGTTTTACCTCTATTGTTCTAAGTAACACCTGAGATAACTATAATAGTGGGAAAAAAAAGGAACTGCAAGGGGGGGGGGGGTTCACTTTTATGTTACGTTTTTAATAGCACTTAATTAATTTAGTGCACGCTGTTCACCCTGTGGAACCAAATCAAGTCTCCACCATTTGTGTAGATCTTCATTAAAGACAGGAAATATGTAAACTTTCCTCCCCCTCCAACACAACTTGCCCCCCCCAAAAGAAACAAAACAAAACAAAACAAAAAACCCACCAAACCCGAACAACAAAACAAAACAAAACAAAAACCCCCCCAACCCCGACCCATCCAATAAGAATTACTTTTAACTTTTTTAGGTTGGCCACATTCCCTTAAACATTTATTATGAAGCTTTACCCAAAGACACATGTCTCGTATAATTCCATTGTTATTTTGAGATAATCACACTCAACTTTAGGGAGAGAGAGATACTGCAGGATTTAAATTTTGTTTCAGTCAAATACTGGTTTGCTTCACTTATGGCCAGACCATAGCTCGTTCCACAAAGCATGAACATGTAGGGTGCATACCACTGCTTTTTGCATATGGACCATTATTTTATCCCACTTCTGCAAGTGGTTGGTAAAGGACAGAAGGGAGAAGGAGTCTGGAGTTTGCCTTCAGCTCTATCCCAACATACCTGATGGCACAGCTGCATCAGAACATTAAGGGATGTACACTGCAATGGATGTAACCTCTACCACTTACATACTAGTCAAAGCAGCAGGAAGGAAACTTGAGGAGTCAGACTGACTCCCAGGCTGTTCCATGGGCAGCAAAATACACTAGTCCTCACTCTGGGCTGGACTGCACACTGGAATTCTAGCTCTCAGAAAACAAGCCGACTTCTTGTTACTAATGAAATGATTAAATTTTAAACTTCTCAGTGTTAGAATTTTTACAGCACTATTCTTAATATGCATTTTATTCACATTTCATTTCTTCTCTTATTTTCAAACCCTCATCCACTCTCAGGTCTTGGTCCACTCTAAACTTCTGCTAGCTTTACTCTGTAAGCAAACATAATAAACAGAATGGTAGCCTGCAGTGTTATGTGGCATTCACCATACCATTAAGCCACAACTCTAGGGACTAACAATTCTTGCATGAATTTAACTTTCCTTTACAACTAGGTAAGTTTCTACTCCAACAGTATCAAGATATTGTTAATGCAAAAGATAACATAAAATAAATGCAAATAAAATAAAATAAAAATTCAGCTATGAATCAAATCTGCTGACAGAAGGGACAACAATAGCTCTAAAGAAGAAACATTGGCATCTACTGTGGAATAAATGGCCCTAAACACAGGAACCATGGGTATAGCTAGAGGTACATGCCACCCAAAAGGACTAGGTCTGGAAAAGAAGGACTATAGTAGCAAAGTGGAACAGTACACAGTAATGGTGAATGCACCCATGGCAACACAGAACCTTTTTTGCTAGGTACAGACATTCAGAAAGCCCGAGGCAGAATCAATCTAAGTTACGCTGTTTTCTGTAAGTGGGGTAATTTAGATTGGTAGCGTACAGAACACATTTGCCCTTTGGTGGGCACCGGGTTCCACCATTTTTAAACCAGCCTACGTGTGTCGAACTTCTGTTCTGTTACAGGTATAGAACAGTTTCTGCTCACATATACTAGTAAAAGTGTAATGTCTGTACCTGCCCTGTGTGACAAAAACTGTTTTTAAATAAGTGTTTATAGAGTGCCTGCCACAATGGGGCCCCAGTCCTGATTGCTGCCTCAAGCATTACTGTAATACAAACAGCACTTCCAGCACAACAGGAATCCCATTTCCCTTACCCTACAGCAGCACACAAGAAGACCCAGCCACTTTTCTACTTGCTGCAAAGTTTCTGCTCTCCCTCTCAGACTCTCAGTGCCAATCCTATGTACTCAAGCTTTGTGCACAGAGAGGAACAGTTGGAACTAACAAGTGTGAACTGCCTACTATAACCTTAATTAAGCTTAAAGGTGCAAATTTAAATGCCAACATTTGCAGTTTTTCATTGCAAAAAGCACCGAGACAAAAATACACAGCTATTTCTAAAGTGACAAGCAGAGCAGAGCTTGGGGAAAGTAAGAGCCTGCCTGCCTCCACTATCTGATGCATACAGTTAAAAACAGCAGGGGAGGATAGGCTTAATTGAATTACCATAGACAAGACTCCATTTTTGCACTAGCAACTAAAATACATAAGTTTGTATCCAAGGTAATCAATTGAAAAATATTGGGAAATAGTCCAAAAGTGTTGAGACTCCACCCACCCCCCCCAAAAAAAAAAATGTCAACCATCTCTAATCATAAAATACTGACCTGACCTGAAAGCCATTATTCCAGAGCTTGAGGAGAAAACCAGCTAGCATAAGGGGAAGCACAGAAATGTGAAGAGCACACCGTATTTGTCTTTGTCAATTGCAAAAACAAGATTTCCTTTTCTTCATCATATTGAATCTGATTAATGCTATTTATTGCCATTGTACACTTGTTGGGGAAGGTGTGAATGAATTTACTGCACCGTGTAATTTAAGACACGCCACCTATTGATTGCTTTGAAAAGGTAATTATCTGTAAGCTCCAGGAAGCCCCTCAAGCACCAGTCTGAAGACATGTACTTATAAGTTTCACTTGCTCTATTTGATCTACGTGCAAAATACATGTTGTCATTATAGGGTGTTGTGCATCCAGAGCTATAAGAGGCTGGGGAGTGGTGGAGGGGAGGAAGGATGGAACATCTCTATCTATTTATACAACACTATAAAGTACAAAGAGACACCTTCCACCCAAAATGCTAGTGAAAATAGCAATGATCCCGAAAGATTATAGCAAATATTTAAACAGCTAAGGATTGGCCCTAAGCATTTGACCTCTACAGAGCTGCATTTCTTAAACAAAGGCCTAATAGCTGGGACAGGGACTGTGATTTTCTACAATGCTGTACAATGGGTCTTGGACCTGGCCGACCATGAATTCCTACCATAATATAAATATTTAAAAACAATGCTAATTTATTCTTGGTACACATATGAAACCTCCATTCACATCATTGAGAGTTAAACAAGGAATCCTAACCTTGTTGTATACATAATATTTCTTTTTTTTTTTCTAAATTAGCATTGTAAGATTTTACCTTTTATCACCATTATAATAATTTTCTAGATCTACTTATCAACATCAGCTGATGTGTTGCAACATCATTAAGTTTTCTGCCTGAATTATACACTGCTGTGAAGTGGGATTGTCACTTCTCACTGACAGTGTATGCAACAACGTGTCCCAACTGATCCAATTCCACAGATATTAGAGTCACCCTGCTGTAGGATCAGAATCCAGCCCCGCAACTCTAATAAAAAAGAATCTGCACCAGCTTTAGAAAGAATATAGGAATTCTGGAAAGATAAAAGGACTAAAAATCAATAGGGTACAAAGATGCAGAATCAGCTGCAACATGGAAAGCAAAAGTAAAGATCGGGAACTAAACTTTGGCTTGCCTTACATGTACCATCAGAGATAAGTGACAGCTGAGTTGCAAAGGCCAAGCAGAAGTTCCTTCAAGCCATTTTGCCCGAGTAGGATGAAAATCAATTCAACAAGAGGAAAATATATGCAAAATTAAGAATCAGAAAAGATATAGACCTTACATATAGGAATTTACATTCTGGGAACGGCATGGGCTTGACTGCTAGCTTTTCTTACGCTTCATCTTCCCCTTCTCCCTCTTGTCCAGATAAAAGTGGGTCCTTCCAACTTATTTGAAACAATTGTTTTTCATATGCATCCCAAAATATTTAATTGTTCCTTTTTTGTTATAGCTGGAGGCACTCAGAGGCTACATGGCCATTTCAATACGGCATTCCACACTACCATAACTTTAAAAGAAAAAATTTACCCACTGGAAAGAGGCACTTTTCTGCTTTATGCTTTTGCCTTTTCTGGTAATTATGAATGACATGTTTGCAATTTCCCAGATTTTAGAAATATGAATTTATTTTGCAGTCATTCTTCTTTTGTCTTATTTCTTAAATACTTAAATTTCCATTTTTGGGAAGAGGGAGACGTTATAGCTCTGAATGAGTTCAATGTGTCCTGAATTGCTTACACTAGAATGTTATTTAACTAGCTTCCAAACTGAAATATTTATTAAAGAAAAGTATTCCAGTAATTTTGGATTTTGCTGCTCTATGAATAAACGTATGCTGCACACACACAAAAAATCTAAATTCAAAATTTGGATCTGTACAGTAAATTAGTTAATTTTTCTCCCCACATCTTGGAGGTTTAATCCTAGGTCCCAGTCCTGCAACTGAGCACAGGCATAGCAGAGCAGCTCCACGGCTGCAAGGCACAGGGCAGGGCCAGCTGCCGTGGTGCCAGTTGCAGCAGGGCAGTCAGCCACTGCTGTAGTGGTACCTATTTTTGGCCCCCCAGTAAATACACAAAAGCAGCAGCCAGGGTCGTCTCCCAGCCCCACCTCATGCAGCTGAGTGCACCCAAGTAGGCTGCCTTAGTTCAACTGAAGTTAACATAAGCAGCAATCTTCCTGCGTACCATTAGTTACAGAATCAGTCTTAAAGTACAAAGGACATTTTACTTTTTAAGTAAGTATTACACACACACACACACACACACACACACACACACACACACACACAGAGTGAAATGTCCTTTGTACTTTAACACTCTCTAAATGAAACTCAGTTAGGTGATACCAGAGGAACTACTTATGCCGAATAACATTTACTCATCCAAGCTAAGTATAGACAATAAAAAAGCGTGAGGCGAAATCAATTCAAGTTGCATGGTTTTTCTGTAAGCAGCAGTTTAGGTCACTAGTGAACAGAACAAACACTCGCTCCTTGGTGTGGTGGGAGAGGTCAAATCTTAGATCAGGTTCTGCCATTTTTAAACCAGTCTGCATACACTGTATACCAGTAAAAAGTGTAATGTCTGTACCTAGCCCCAAAAACTACAGAATCAGACCCCATGGTAATAAGTGTACAGCAAAAGCTTTGTTATCTGGCACCCATGGGGAATAGGGGGTGCTGGATAACCAAATATGCCGGTTACCTAAGAGACCTGAACAGGCATCTTTGCCTGTTCGGGCTGCCGTCCCTCCTGCTGTATCAGTGTGCCGGGGGACAGGGAGGGGGGCCCTGCGCAGGCTGCTTTACCCTGGGCTGTGGGGGCTCAGCAGTGCAAGCTGCTTTGCCCCAGGACGTGGGGGCTTGACGAAACTGGAAGTGCCATGGTGGGCACTTCCGGTTTCGCTTTTGCTGCGTCGAGCAGAATGCCAGTTTGTAAGGTGCTGGGTAATGCGGCTTTTGCTGTAAAATAGTTTTTTAAAACCTAAATAGAATTGATGTTGATTTTTTTAAAATGAAAACCCAACTGATTTTAAGGTGGAGCTTGATAAATTTATATAAAACACAATTATATGATATGGTTGCTTACTGTAGCAACAGACTGGACTCAAGGACCCAGAAGGTCACTTCCAGTTCTATGCTTTATACTCCTCTATCTCCAGTGTAGCAGCATACCAAGTCCTGAAACATTTGATGCTAATCTACTGTGAGGCTTCTTGCAGCTAAGAAGGGGAAAAAAATTGCACATATCAATGGCATAAGTAGAGAACAGGGAAAGAACCAGCCTGACAAAATATATTACTGAACGCTGCAAAATTATAAATGTGTTGATAGCCATACATAGCATCTTTTCATGAAGTGCTGGGTATTTTTTTTTCCCACTCTTTTTAGTAATTGAGGAATTATCCTGTTTAATTTGGAGGGCTACTTAAGGGTCAGTATAATCAACATCCTGTCTCAAACTTGTTTCTCTGTTCTTAGAAGTCCAGCCACTCTGAGATCAGTGTTCCTTTTTGAGAGAAAGCCAACACTTCCCATTTATTATTGGATCTGTCAAAAAATAAAGACTTCATCCTGTCTAAAAACAATTCTTGTTTTTTAATTATTTGCTAAGGTGTCAAGTACAACTATATTAGAGTTTGTTGGAAAGATACTAGCTTACATCTGTCATGTTTCAACAGTTTTGAAGAGAAAAGGAAATATTAACATAACACATTTTGTCACATTAGATAATGTCATAACTAAACAATTTAGAGCTTGCAAACAGAGCACTCATACTGCATAAGTCTCTGCCAGTGTTTTTCAGGAGTAATGAGCCTCAGCTGTGAAAGGGTCTTGCTTCATAAGGTATGTAATAAATCATTATCAGAGTGAACCCAGCTCCTATGTTGTTCCTTTTTGAGTGCAATTATTAACACCTCATGGGATTTCACACAAATGTGTAGGTTAAAGAGATGTATTTTATTCACATTAAATTATTACATGCTATTAATGTTTCTTCTAGCCACTTGTAAGTTTAAGTATGCTTTCTGATAAAAAATAGAGTTACAAGTTATGGGTAGAGAAGAAAAATAGAGCAAGTCTGTACTTTTAGATTAAACTGTTGCATGGCTAAACAACTAGTTACTAGAGGTGTTATGCTTTGAGGGGCAATTAAAGTAGCCTCCACTTCTAAAGTTAGTGATTAGCAATGTAAAGAGCAAGCCAGTTTTTCCTCTAGGCTGATAAACTTTCATGGCAGTTTTATAAGGCCAGGCTCATTTTTATCAACATGAAGATAAAAGCCACAAAGCTCCTAGTGATGACTGATGTACTAGTTTCTAGTACCATAAGAGATACGATACTCACATGTCCCTGATCGTCCAGTTCGTTGTTTGTAAGTTTCAATTTGTCAAAGCTGATCACTTGCCTCATCCAAGTTTCCCCTGAGGCAGGAGAATCAGGGTGAATATAAACACGAGGTGGTACTGGCGAGTCAGCATTACCAGCCACCATCCATTTAGAGCTATGGTAAACATACCTATAAAGAGAAGCCCAACATCCATCAGAATGAAATCAGAAACAATGCATCAGGTGAAGAATTTTTAAAAGTTTTAGAGAGTACCCACCAATCTACAATATGTTAAAGGACCATAATTAAAATTCAAAACAGCCCAGAGAGAAGTGAGCAGTTTGCCAACAGAAAAGGTCTGAACAAAAAGAATGGAGAGAAAAACCCAAATCTGAAAGAACAGAGAGCACTGAAATATGATCTATTAAAAAATCCCAAACAAACAGCTGAAAATTTTGACTTTGATTTGAGATATAAAAGGCAAACAATCCACATTAAAATGGACAGCGCTTTTGGAAACTTTCTGCCCACAACAGTGCTATCAATATTACACTTAGACATTCACTAACAAATATAATTTGTTTTGTTGCTACACATGCAATGTTTATTTCACTTCCACTTCGAAAGTATATTTTAAATGAAAAAATAAATTTAACATGCATATATGTAACTGAGTTTTAAATATTAGTAAAAGTATCTGCAAAACATAGGGCCAAAGCCTACTCTCGCTCTAACTATCTTTTGAGCCAATTAGAATCTTTCTACAAAACAAGGTGGAGTTTGAACAGGCCCTCACTCATACTGGTGCTACTCATACTGGTGCCCAATAACTGCACTGAAGAGCACCAGTGTAACAGAACAGAATCTGGCCCTTCATTTATAAAACTGACGAAAGTCTTTACACGCCTGGCTTGACATATTGTTTTTAAACATGGAACAGTCTAGAAGTGAAACTGTTCCAGATGCAATATGTTGCAAAAATACTGAAATTAAGCCCAATTTCTGTGAGAACCACACTGATCTTTTTGGCAGTACAGCAGGGAAAAAAACAAACAAACAAACAAACACATTTCTTGAATGTTTAATGTTAAAAACCAAAATTAACAAAGTAAGTTTGAAGTAAAAGCAATGCATCCTTCAATAAAAATCTGATTTTGAATAAAGCCATGCTACAGACTAATTATTTTTTAAAAATTGCTGAAGTATGTCTAACATAGGCATGTCTGCCACAAATAAAATGTTTATAATAGTTCTGGTTAATTTTAAGAAAAATATGAAAGATTGGCACAAAGCATGGCAGCGTGTACAGTTTAGTTGTACATGAAAAACGCAACAGCATCAATCTTGGAAACAAAATAATTAATTACATGTATGTATCAATACAAGTCATACTAAACCATCAGATATGAGATCTACACTTTCTTGTTTATTTGTTCCTTGGTGGACTATTCTTTAACTAAATCATACCGCTACTTCTTTTATTATTATTGTTGTTTTAGATTTGTGAATGACATACTATTTAAATTGTTTTAAACCAAACCCTCGCCTTTAGCTATTCCTCAAAGATTCAATTCTGCTGAAAATCTAATTTTACACACAAATTTTCCTGATTTGGCATCATTTCAGTTAAAGTTTTGCTATTTTCTTCAATATAAACAGGATTGGGCCCAACAAACGATTGTTTTAATCTTCTAAATATGAAGATCTGCAGGGCATGTCATTTGGAAAGTAGGATTCACAATAAATGGACTAAAATAATAGTCAACATAAAAGAATGTACAATACATAATTAATTTGTTTACAGAAGAGTGAAATGAAGTAAAAGTGACATCAACATTAACCAGTAAGATAAAGTAAACATAAGTTTTTCATTACAGAAACTTATGCCTGTCCACTGTGAAAATACTGCATTTCATTCAATGTTCCTAAAATTGAGTTTGTCATTTTAGAAGACTTTATTCAGCTGTGCAGATAGCAAGGACTATACTGAATGTGTAAAAATGAAAATAAGACTGTCTTGTTTAAACCATTAACATTTGATGTAAATTTTCTCATTGTGATGTCAGAATTTTTGTTGGAGTTCTTATATTTCTCACTATTTATACCAGTTGAAGAAATTATGTCCCTTAGAAATTTCTGTGTAGATTTCTCTCAGGATCAGTGAACTGACTGTCTTAATGTGAACCTAAATCAACACAAACATTTTCCATTTTAACTGAATTGCACTGATCCAGGGTGGGGAGGAGGGGGGGGAACCCCCTTCCAAACATAAACACTTTTCTTTTTCCTCTGCTGCAGAACTGTCAACCCCCACAAATAAGTAATACACGCTTTTGGTATGTATATTGTCAACCTAATACAATTCTCTTTCAAACCTAAAATATTCTCTATCAGAACTAAAATTGCCATAAAAAAATATTTAAAAATTATTTTGCACTCTGCCTTGAAAAGGGAAGGAAATTACTATTAGTAACCTTAGGAAGGAAAGAAAACTTGAGTGCATATGGATTAATTTTGATATTTTTCAATTTTCCTAGTTTAGCAGTTAAATATCTTGATTTCCAATGATCTGTTTTAACAAAGGGTTAAAAAGAAAGATCAACATGGCAGTTTTTAAGAGTCCAAATCCCGGTCCGACTGAACCACTTGGCCAAACGCCTCTTCATTTCAACAGGGAAACAGGTTCCAGAATAATTTCTGAAACTGTTAACAGTAATTATTGCGAACAACCCTGCAAACTTTTACTTCAGTAAGTAGTCCCAAAAATCCCCTTGGCTAAACAAGGACTGCACTAAGCGTTTACAAATATACATTTTTACCTCTAAGTGTTAAAAGAACAATTAAAATAATTGGCCAATAATTATTCTTTAAAGTGTAAACTTAGACAAAAATGCCATTCATTCATTAAAAATCAAAAACCACTAAAATAGTTATCCATTATCCTACTGAGCTCATGTTGCAATGAACATCATGTGCATCTTTTCACAACAGAAGGAAGAAGTTTTATATGCTTTACATTTTAATGTAGGTATCACTAGAAAATATAAATGTTCCTATATAGTAATTACTTCCTATGAATTAATAAGTGGCACAATGTGGACTTGTTTAGTAATTAACTAGGACCCCTACATGTTAACAATATCTCTCTGACTGAACTAGAAGTACAGTGGACGAAAGCAAAAGGCTGAATGTTTCCCTATAGTACATATGCAATGCAAGGCAAACAGAAATTTCATAAAAAAAGTAGGGGTGGGGAAAGGGGGCGTCATAAAGTTGGCACAATGCACTTATTTTCCATGCACGAAGATACAACAGGGAAAAAAAAAAAAAGAAGAGAGAAAAGTACATTTGGATGAGACTTAAAAATTTTCATTTGTTAATTTATATACCATTACTATGTTCTTGCAGCAGCCAAGATCTATATTGCTTGTATCACAAGCTTTAGGTGTTACAGTTACTTTACCTGTATCTTTTATTATCCACTGGCACAATGTCCATGGCAATATAATATTGCTGATGTGGGTCTAAGCCCGAGATCTTCACTCGCATTGCAGGAAACATCCGCCTGAACACAGAAAGAGAGGGATCTTTTTTAATATGAAACAGACTTGGGAAAATTTGTGCAGCAAAAGTAACGAGTTTGTGGGATTCACCAGCCCCCTCTTCATATAGAAAAGTCTATAGAGTCTTTTTATTATTGGTCAAAGCTATGAAATACTCCATTTGATGTCAAAACAGGTTTACAAAGTGCGTTTTAGCTGAACAACGCTTTGTATGTTGTGTGGTTTGCTTTGGGAGTACAACTATTACCTCATCATTTTGACTTTATTGTTAAATAGTAAATCATTTTTGTTTTGAGAGTTTATTTTAGCTGAAAGCCTGTTTGAGTTATTAACTAGAAGTGCATTTCATGAGATCTATAAATAAGAGCAATCACCTAGGAAGACTTCTTGTTACAAAAATCTAAATTGTCAGTAAGGGTTTAAATAAAAGTGTCAAATGATGCCCAATTCATATATCAGATTACAATACTAAATATGCAGTGATACAATTATAGAACTACAAGGATGCAGTTATAAAAACCAATGTGCCATGCTATAACCAAACAATATGTTCTTTATTGAGATAGAACTTCCTGTCTGCAACATACTAAAAAGGTGAAGCGCGAGACATGGTCTATGGCTGAAAGGTATAGTAAAACTTCATTATTGAAAGCAGAAACAAAAGTACAATGTACAATTATAAATAACTTCATAACTCAAATTATTGCACTGCCAAAATGAAACAATTAAACTCGATGCAGATTTAAAAACAAACACTTTTTTTTTTATTTACTATGTTTGATACTAGTTTTTTTTTTATCTAGGTTTGTTCAAAATGCCAAAAATAAGAAGCTTGATAATAATTAGATTAATTATAATAATTCACTGACTGAAAAAAACCCAAAAAAACAACCCATCCTTTCATTTATTTATCTGATAAGTCTAAATACTGTTTCACGTCATAAAAACAAGTTACAAGTTAATTGTGGAAAGAAATAAAAAGTTCTCTATTTTTGCTAAAGCAGCTGACTGGGGCTAACTAGTTTTTACTGTTCTTTCAGTGCACCTGTAATATAAAAAACAAAACTTGACACAACCTTCTCAAGACAAATGTTGCTTTGTGCCGCTTAAGACTGCATTTCAATCATTAAGAAAAGTCCTCTGAAAACACAGAAGGTAGCATATGGATTTAATAAAATACGTTTTTGTAATTTCTAATAAGTTCAGATACTTTTATACTAGCCAGGTTTTTACCATGTGTATCCATTGGAAAGGGAGGAGGTGGGGTGGGGGGGCAGAAAGTTTCTGGAGCAGAGCAGCATTCATAGACTTCTCCCTAATGAACAGGAAACCTAGGAGCCACATGCTCCTGTGCCCATCTCGCAGGGTATTCGACTCTACCTCGCCCATAAATCAATGGGCTTTGTCCACTTTGATGTGTGCGCGCCCGCGGGCCCCGTGTATCGTGATTAGAAATGATCTGTGCGGTCTGTGAAGAGACTGGGCAGATATTTTTGCTCTCTATGAAAAGAAGGAAACCATTATATTTAAAAAAGAAAGGGCGGGGGAGGGAGGGGGGACGTGAGGGGCTTCGGCAGCACTCCGGCTTGGCATTGAATTAGGAGGACTGAGCAGAGCGGTGTGCTGGAACCACCTGAAAGAGGGCAAGGCGGGGAGGAGAGGGGAGGAGAGGAGAGGGCGCGGCCGGGGGCTCCTCGCGGAGTGAACTTGGCTGCTCGGAAATGGGGAGAGAAACCCCCGAGAGGAGCCGGGGCCGGAGGCGCTCCCGGGGCGCCGCGGGCTCTTACCTCCCGGCCTTAGTGATGATCATCTCGGTGCCGATCTCGTGGAAGCGCTTCCAGAGCTCGGCGCCCTGCAGGTCCACCCGCGGCGCCTGCGGGCCGGGCGCCGGCGAGG